CAAGCTTAATGATCAAATTTGTTTCTCTGAGGTATATTGGTTGCCAAAATGGACAGATTAAAAAAATATATAGATATAGTGTATACAAAGCATCGTAGTTCTGTACTTGCACATTTTGCTAAGCCTTAGTCAAAGGCAGGTTACAGATGTAGAGGGGCTTATGTTCTCACACAGGATGGTGGTTCTTACGTTTTGGTATCTCTGTGTGTGTACATAAACATGCACGTATAGTGCCATATGTATTCTCTATATGATATATCATGTGCGTACTCCTACTTCAGTGATTTCCCATTTGCAGACCTAATGGGAGACAGTGCAGCCTTTTGGGGTATAGTAAGTGGCTTGTTTAAAAATAAACCCCTTCTGTTAGGGTAGGGGAAATTACGTTTGCTCAGCAGTGTGGAACGAAGGAGTTTGAAGATAGATAGCCTAAGGAAATGTAATGGTATATTAATGAACTTACCTCTTAGCAAAAGTACTGATCGAGGGGAGGAAGGGGAAGGAATAGGAACATGTTTTGTCATTCTCTTCAGGTGGACTAGTAATTTCTGTATCTTAACCAGTAATAGACGGGGGCAAATGCTTAGTGGCAATCAAGGAAATCTCTGTCTGCTGGTTTAGTGCTAAATGGAGTTTCACATCGGGTGAGACTGCAAGCGCCGTACTGGCTGTTCCTGATGGACCTCCTAGAGCCCTGTGAAAAACAAGGGGCTTTACTGATGCGTTGGCTTCTTTCTTTAGAGCTTTGTCTCCAAGAGGTGCTCATTGGGAAACCCACAGATATGAGCCCTGATGTAAGTTCATAGGAGTTGGTCTTGGTTGCAGCTCATGTGGAATTACTAGTTGGGGTGAGAACCCATGGCAAAGCTTGATACGTTTGACTAGGAGCTCAAGTATGTCTCTGAAAAGTATCTGCTTAATGATTCAAAGCTCTGCCTTGCAAACACGTACCCAGGTGGGTAAATAGGGCTAATAAGCATGTAAAACCATGTATCAATTCATGAGAATGAGGAAAATCTAAATAGTGTCGCACAGTTCAAAAAGGACAAATAGGGAAGGGTATATGCATGGCAGTAACTGGTCATGGAAAGGAAAAATTCTTCCCGAGAATGTAACTGGGGATGAAGACCATTGTGAGAAGACTGACCTTCACAGCTGAGATGGAGCTGGGAGGGAGTGGACAGAGGTAGTACTTGGGAGCTCTGGAGGACCTGGTTTCCACAAGCACCTCCTGGGTTTGCTGAACGCTTTGATAAATTCTTCAGGAGTTTTCTCATTCATCACAGATAAATCTCCAGTACAGTTGCTGCTGAGTCTGTTCTTACTCTGTTTTACTTCTTGCCTAATCTCAGTTGTGTTGCTTTACCCTCAGCTTTGAGGGGAGAAGTAACTTCTGCACTCGTGGAATATGCCCTTCTTAATCTCATGCTTCATCTTTTCTGCTGTTCTGTCTGGCTTTTAGTAGACCCTCTCCAGTTTTCCCCTCAGTCTCTCTCCTGCGTTAACAGGCAGAAGTTCAGTTACTAGCTCTGCTCTAAACCTGTCTCTTCAAAAACTGTTTTGACATGGCTAACACTGAGCTGTTACATCGACAAAGAGCACTAGTATTTCTTTCTTGTTCCCTATGCCACCATTTCCATGGTTGCTCAAGCCGTTGTCAGATAACGGATTTTTAACTCCTTCTGTCTGGTTTCTCAGACTTTTCTGCAGAGCCACTGATGTGCAGTTTTCTTTACTCATCCTCCATGGCTGTTGGTTTTAGCCAGGCTCTCATCTTACTGTAGTCTTTCAGTGGTTTCTAAGCTTGACCAGGCCCATCTCAGACCTTTCTACAGAAGTGCTTTTCTACCCGTGTGGTTCCACCGGCAGTTTACCAGCTCTCCAAAGGGCTTTTGCTGTGGGCCCACACTGAGTGCTTGTACAGAAACCAGGCAGCCATCGGGTAGTGGGCAGGCTCCCTGCTTCGGTACGGAAGGGAACAGGGAAGGGAGTGAAGGGCCAGCCCTGACAGTGGAGGATGGCTCCCAGGGGGTCCCAGCACAAGTCCCCAAGGCAAGGGAACAGTGTGATGACCGAGTTTAAGTTAAATCCACTGCCTGAATTTGAGTTCACAGCCAACTGAAGAATTGTGACGTCTTTTAAGCCTTGCTACAGCACTAAAATGGCAATGATATAGAATGTAGATAAATTAATTGATACATATGAAGGGACAGAAGGGGAGACTGGACTTCACTGAACTTCACTGGAAAGGATGGGCTGACCTGACCGTCCTCTTAGGTAGGAGGGCTTCGGAAAACCAAAGTAATGAATGTGACTGTTTGCTGGAGCTTGGCAATGATCACAAAGCAAGCTGAGCCCTGGGGGTTCTTAAGAAAAGATTTACAAACAAAAAAACACAATCTGTGGTTTGCTGCCTTTGAATGCCTTGTGCGTGTGTGTATGTATACATACACGCATGTATATTTGTATCTAGGATGCCAACTTACAGCCTGGAATGGAGCTGGAGGGGCTCAGAGAAAGGGGAGGTGGGTGGAGGGGCCGGCTCCTGCCCGAGGACCAGAGAGTGGAATGGGGCTCTTTGGCCTGGAATGGGAGGCTCCCACATGCCTCCTCCCTGGTTTGGTGAATCCCTGAATTGAGGAGGGTGACCGCTGATCCCTACCTCCGGCAGTCACCCCGATGGGGCAGGAGGCAGTTTTCCACAAGGCACGCAGCAGAGTTATGGATCTCCTCGTTCCGGGAGCAGACACTGCAGCTCTACGCCGGCTCAGGGAAGCCGAGCAAACTTGGGGGGAGTTCACACGAGTCTGCTGGTTGCCTGGGCTTGGGCATCAAATGGTTACCCTGCTATGTGTAACAGTATGTAGTTGTATACATGCACATGCTCTGGCCTGATTCTTCCTCGGGAACTTGGTTTTGAGTGCTATTTTGGGATGATTTTCTGGGTTAGATGAACATTAGTGACCCATTATGTCCCAGTTCTCTAGTTTGTGGCATTGAAGTGAGTTGTAGAACTTCCTGCCTGCCTTTCACTGGATTTCTGAAGGGAGAATTTCCTTGCTGTAGACTTGGTAGAGGCGTTGCAGTAGGGTGGTTAAAGAGCCTCAGGTTAAATGTATGTTGTGCTTGTTGGTTTTAAAATGAGCAATTAAGTGGTTTGGCTGGCCTGGCAATGGAAAAAAAAAAAATAAAAAATTCCTTTAGTCCCTGGCATTGGTTAAACAGTTAAAACTCTTGTCAAAGACGTTAAGAAATATCCTTTGAAAGGTAACAGCACTGCCTTCACAGTTAACTGGGACTGTGCCTGGCTTGCTCAGCAAGAGGAGTATTAGAATGAATTGAGGTGAATGACAACTGCAGGCTGGCCAGGCCTGGGAAGACCTAGCCTGCCAAGACCGAAGGGCTTCTCAGTGTCCATGTGGGAGGGACAGACGTCAGCCCTGTTCCCTTGGCATGTGCCTCTGGAGTCGTTCTGAGTTAGCAATGCTCTCCTGGGCATCATGTGTGATCAGACTGGCTGTTACTGCGAGAGTGGGACAGGGCTGCATGTGTGGGAGAGCCCCGTGGTGCTTGTATAGCAGTGAGCATCATCGTGCTAGCAAGATTCGGGGAGGAGTGATGTGTAAATAAGCAGAGAGCCTAGGGATCCTTCCTTGGGGAGGGGCAGTCGGTGCTCTCTGAGGTGATGAAATAGCAAGCTGTAAACAAACAAAGCTCACTTCAACACTGTCAGGAACTGCAAGAGCTAAACATAGCCCCAGAGGCTTGACTCACTTGGCTTTTGCCTGGCAGATGACTGCTCTGGGCTCGCTATAGAGTTACAAAGGTGAAATTCTTTAATCTACATCATGCCAGAGCTTAGTCTAGATGTGCTAATGGTCTCCTCCGGACTCAAAATCTGCACGTCCCCAAGAGTGGGTGCACAGTAGTGAGCATCTCGAGTCAGTCTGGCCCAACTGCTTGCCCTTTCCAACACCATCCAAAGAGGATCCTGCTTGTCAGCCTCCCTTGCTCTGTGCTGGCAGCAGCAAGCCCCAGCGGAGGCAAATTACGCTCCTGGTATTTCTCCCTGAAGCCTGTGGTGTGTAGGACAAGATGTGCGGCAAAGGGGAAATGGTGACCCGTCTGCACTCTGTAATGGTAAAAGGAAATAAGAGTACAGCTACTTATGGTATTAAGGGCACTTCTGTTTCTCAAACAGGGAAAAGCTTTAGAAACCTGACGTAAGAAATGGTTTGCTTAGTCATGCTGCTTAGAAGTTAAAGTTGTGTTATTGTGACAGTCTTGTCTTTCGATGGCTGTACCATGAGTAATACGTTAGATAGGTTTTTATGAACATCAACTCTCTGAGGTGTCTTTAACGTTGCTTTTTGAATGAGACTGAGCCCCAGGTCCTGATTGTTTGCGGCTGCTTAATGATTCAGTTGCATATTACTGGAAGAATGCGCAATGTGCTGGGTTACAGTGTCATCAGGAAATTATTCGTATACAGTCTTGCTCCAGAGTGCTGGTCTAGATGCCTGTAATAATTGGCAGAAGTGTAATGGACATTTGTGTTCACTCTCTCCTGTTGGGGCTATCGAACATGTCTGGAACAGGCTGCATTTCTGCGTGTTTTTATTTTTTAATATTGACAGAAACATGAAGTAATCACTTCTAAATCTCTTTTAAAAGCAATTTAATCATGAGTGGAAGCAGAGGATTTTGCTATGCAGTTGCAAGGCTGTTAAGTGTATTCAGGTGGATAGCTGATGCATGACTGGAAAGCAGCGAGTCACTCTGCTGCTGAGCTAAACTGATGTCACTTAAAAGAAGTCTCTTCAGCTCGGTCTCTGCTCCTGTGACAGGGTTAAAAATAATCAGGTCACTGCTTGACCAGGTATTTTGAGGTCTGTTTCTCACACTTAATGCAGGGCCCTCTGGAGAGCAGTCTGAAATGGGAATTATATGGTCATGGATGAGGCAGACAAAAGCCAACCAGTTCTTCTGTTTGTTTTCCTTCTTCTGCAGGACAGATTCTGCATCCCACATGAACTACGAAAATCCTCCACCTTACCCTGGCCCAGGCCCGACTGCCCCTTATCCACCCTATGCACAGCAACCAGGAGGTCCTCCTGGCCCATACCCAGGCTATCCTCCTGGACCTACTGGGCCGTACCAGCCGGGCCAGCCAGGTTATCAAGGTTATCCCCAGTATGGATGGCAAAATGCACCTCCGCCTCCAGGACCAACGTATGCAGATGGGCCTAAAAACACAGGTATGCCTAGCAGCCGTGGTGTGATGTAATTGTGACCCTGTCTGGCCTGCAAATGCATGAGTACTTGTTGACCTTGAAGTAATGTGGTTACCAGTGTCTGACCCTAATGTGGCTGGGAGTGGTGGAAACTTGTTTGAAGTAGTGATTCTGTTTATAGCCTGTTTTCCTGCTTTATTTTGCTGTTGTGTCTCTACTCTGGCTGTTGGAAGATACTGCTGAACATCCTTAATGCTGATCCCTCAAGGGAATCCTCATGCTGAAGTTGTTATACATGCTTTTTGCTGGCTTTAGATTTGCCACAACTCTCATTCTGCCTGTCTTTTGGTTGATAAGTTTCAATTGAAGGCTGCATAGTTAAAGTTTTTAATATTCAAAGGTACAGTTCCTACCAAATTAATGTGCATCAGTTTTCTTGAGCCCATCAATACCTGTCCAAGTGATCTAATAGTGCCATTGGAATCATTCCTGGGCTGCTTTTTTTTTTTCTGAAGCTATAATCATTCTGTGGAAAAACAGATTTCTGGGGAAGGGAAGGAGGATGGTGTAACTTACCTTGGCAGCTAGCTGGTCTGTGTGCCTCAATGTGGTGTGCTGGTTTACTCTGGCACCCATAGCTCTTGTGGTGCTTGCTGCAGTGCTTGGTGCAGGCTCAAATTGTCAGAGGAGGGCCAATAAGATGTTTAAGGGACCAGAGCATCTTTATATGAGGAGAAGCTGAGAGAGCTGGGACTTTTCAGCCTGGAGAAGAGAAGGCTCAGGGAGGCCTATCCGTGTGTATAAATGCCTGATGGGGGAGAATGAAGAAGAGGGAGCTGGGCTCTTCTCAGTAGTGTCCAGTGACAGGGCCAGAGGCAATGAGTACAAGCTGAAAGACAGGAGGTTCCTTCTGAACAGAAGAAGACACTTTTTTACTGTGAGAGTGATCAAACACTGGTACAAGTTGCCCAGAGAGGCTGTGGAGATACTCAAAACCTGACTGGACATAGTCCTGGGCAACCTGCTCTAGCTGATCCTGCTTGAGCAGGGGGCGTTGGACCAGATGATCTCCAGAGGGCCTTCCATCCTCAGCTCCTCTGGGATTCTGGCAAAGTTGGGTGTGGTCCCTCCCTTTTCCCCACTGGAAAGAGGATTTAGCTTTACGGTTTTTTGTAACACTTGCCTAGAGACCAAGTTTGTTCTTGTCAGTGTTTCACAGGCTTTGGGTGTAAACTCTCTGCTCATACAGTATGGAGGTGTACTCATCCCCTCACCATCAGCCTGAGGATGCATGCTGTCATGCCAGCTCCAGTGCCTTCTTTCAGGCTTCTTCAGTGACAAAGATACTCATCCAGGCTGGGAAGCCGGAAACCATCTTCACCTCTCTTACTCTGTTGCAGTGAATATCCCAAACAGACTTGAGCTGTTGAGAGGACTCTTAAGTACCTGTCGCTGTTCTGGCTGCCTTGAGGTGGCGGAGGATGTGGCCAGAACTACCTAAGGGGTGTTCTGTGGGAGAGAACGTGAGGAGCACCTCTGTAGAGGTGCTGTCCAGGCACTATGCTTTAGGTGCGAGCTGTTCTTGGGAAGGAAAGGAGACTCAGGGTTTGTATGTGCTGGGTGTGTCTGGCATGGTCACGGTCAGGCTAACCTGAGGTGGAAAGAAGTGAGACTAACGTGCCTCAAATCAAAACCTAAGTCAGTGCTTTATAGCTATGCAAGGCAGTAACACTTTGGGTACTGCTGCTGTAAAGACTGGCTGATAAAGTGGGTATCAAAGCTGACATCACTTGAAAAATTGTTAGGACTCACACAGTTCCCCCACAGCCTACGCGAAGCAGTCTTTGGCCGTTGCACATTAAGGTCATTCTCCACATACTGTTGTTGCTGTGGCTTGGGACAGTGTGCACTTGGGGCCTGTTCAGGACTGAGGTCTATACGCATTTGCTGCATTTTGAGACAATTGCCTGCCGTTCTTCTCTACCACTTCATGTTACTCTGATTCAGCAGCGCACTGTGACAAAGGTCTTTTCAAAGCCCTCATTGTTTTGGGAAGCTGGAACTTGAGAAGTTCCCAGCAAGAGTTTTTTCACTGCGGTGAATCCAAAGGAGGCTTGACATAGATGGGTGGACAGGCTGAACTGTGGAGAGGACATTTTCAATAACTTTTTTTTTCCCAGTATTCTTGGCCGCAATGGTGGACTACTGGACCAGTGTATATAAAAGCATCCCTGGGATTACAGCTGATGTAAGAGGTCAGGAATATTCTGGTGTGGGTCTGGCCAGAGGACCCAAATATGAGCAGCAAGCAATTGGTGTGACTGAGTAAGAACCTGAATGAGTGCAGGTCATGTGTTCAGCTCCCTCTGTAAAAGAGTGAAAACATCAGGGGAAGGTTGAGGTTTTAAGAAGGAGGAGGCAGCAGCATGGTGATGCTTCCCACCGCTACCACCATGTGGACTTGAAGTGTAGTCAGGGTTTTCCCTAGGAAATGCACATAGTTTTGGGGTAGCTAACAGGGATTTCTTGGTACTGAGGGTGCAAAAAATTGTCTCCCATGTAGAACATCTTTGATTAGCGCAAATGTTGCTTTGCTGCTGTAGCCAGAAAAAGGGATATGCTAGCAGAAGCTGAAAGGAGAGCAGGTCTGCTGCTTTGGATAGTCTGACTTTAAGCCACATCTGCTCCCTTGGAGGCTTAAAGGATTTCATATCAGACTGGATCAGGGAACTGATGACAGTGAATGTCCTCTGCTCAGATCAAGTCTCTGCTTTGCTCGCAAACTTGTGGACCAGCACAAAGGAGTAGGCTGGGAAATTGGAGAGGACAATTAAGTGTTTGAGTGTGTCTTTCCCCGACAGCCCAGGCTTATGCTGCAGGAGGCATGTGTTTTTGTTAAACCAAAGCTAACACAACTGCAGTTTTGCACCAGCAGCACCCTAACCCATAAACCAAAGATCTTCTGGCAAGTCCTGTCTTTGCACTGCCTTCCTGTAGCCATGTCTGGTCTCTGAACCCACCTTGGGAGCCTCCAATTTGCATTGTTGTTGCTGGAGTGGATGTAACGTACAAAAACATTTATTAATGTGTGTAAAATGAAGTCAGGGCTATAACTTTGTTTTTGTCTGCAAAAGCTTTTTCTTGATTCTCCTTCTGTTAAGCATCCTTTTCCCCCCCTTGCTCCTTTTTGGCCAGTCCATCAAACTGGAACATGATTTTTGTCCTGTGGCACTTTAACAGAAGTCTTCTGAGAGAGCTTTCAACAAGGCTTTGTTTAATGATCATCTCCAGGAGTGTCTAATATAGAATGAATGTCCCTAAAAAAGCTAATTTTTAAAATCTGTTATACTAATACTATATATTTATATTAGAGGTTTAGCCACACCAATATATAAAATTGACATCTAAATTTAATCGGGTCACCACAATCTGCCGAGCTGGTCTGGCATGATGTAATGTGGCTTCTCAGTTCTTGTGGTGTTTCCAAACAGTTACCTGGGAAGAGCTGTTGTATGGATGCTTTCCATTCAGAGCGGATGTTTTGCTCTCCTAGATGGCTTTGCTTAATCTAATGAATTAAGCTACTCTAAGTAATGCATTAGTATTTCTGAACAAATGTGTGTCCACATTAAAAACTAAGGAATTGGCTATACTTTAAATTTTATGCTTTATTTTACTGTGTAGGCAAACTGCAAAGTGACCTCTTATGTTGTGGATCGTAGCCAATGTGCTAATGTGTGGAGGTAATTATGCATTGTATTTTGATCTTGAGTGGATCACACAGATGGAAATTATTACTGTTGAGCTCTTAAAACCTGGTCGTAAAGTAGCATTTCATGGTGATGGTGGGTTTTGATCTAACAATTTTGTGGCCTGTGTGGAGTAGCAATGGACTTAGCCTGTCCAGTTGGCTCTTGGAGAAGAAAAATTGTCATATAACTTACTCTTTGTATTAAAAAGAAAGCTGCATCTGACATGTAACAGGGAAACTGCTTAAACTTAGTACTGCTTTTGTCACCCATGCTGCAGAAGAGCTCATGAACCACTGAACCTTCTTTCAAAGGCTGCTGTTGAAGGGCTTTCCAGGCTGAGCATTACTGGTATGAGTTACACTGCCTGCGCATGGCTTGTGTGCCACAGCCATGCTTCTTCCCAGCCGCAGCACCTATTCCTCCGCTGCCTCAGGAGGTGGGAGCTGTAAGCCCAAGATCCCTCTTGTTGGGGCCGTGCTTGGCAAGGGTAGGTAACATCTAGGCTGGAAAGAGAAAGCTATGACTGTTAAGTGAGCCATGACTGTGCTAGAAATAGGTGAGAGAGGGAGAATGTTGTCATCTTTTCAATATGATATTGAATAGGGGGACATATATAAAGGCTTGTTGGAGGAAGATGCAGTCCAGAACAGCACTGAACAAGGAGAACAAGTATATTCCTGTCCAAACTGCCTTAGTTAGCCATGACTTGCAGAAATCAGCTTGCAGTTTACACATTAAGACTTAGTGGTGTTGGCCATGTGACTCCCATGTATTACAGCACTGTAGAAGAGGGAGACTGCAGCTGATAATGGCAGCTGGTGGTCCTTTGTCCCTTCTCCCAGAGTGGATGGAGTCCAACGTGTGCAAGCTTGTACCCTCTCAGAGTCACCCTAGCTACCCCGATGCTGTTGGGCCTGAAATCCCTTGAAGCATGTTTCTGCTGCAGATGGAGAAGCGGTAGCCAGAGAGGCTAGGTGACTTGCAGAGGTGGCACAGAAGACCTCATGGCCATGGTTTTGGGTTTTTATTTTGAGTTTTCTTGATAGCTGGCTTTCGGGCTTGCACAGGCTACCAATAGCAAAGCCTCCAAAGAAACAACACTTCTTGCATCTTGCGAGGGCTAATAACTGACTTAGCTGTTGTCCATTAGATGTAAATAACTTGACGTTTACCTTTAGAGCTGATAAAGTCCCTCAGGCTCACCATATAAATTATGCTTAAAGGTATCTGATTCAGCTTCCTAGTTCTGTGAACTGACTTGTGCTGATTTCT